TCCTTTTCCCAAAACCAGGAAAACCTCTCAATAGCTCAACATCCTATAGACCAATCAGCCTACTCCCGATCCTTTCAAAAATTTTTGAAAAGATCCTTTTGAAACGAATCCTACCCATTATAGAATCCCAAAATATCCCTTCCCATCAGTTTGGTTTTCGCTCTCAACATTCTACTGTTCAACAAGGACTCCGAGTTGTTGATCATATTTCCTCAGCCCTAGAAAACAAGGAATACTGTTCGGGTGCCTTTCTGGACATTGCACAGGCATTTGACCGGGTATGGCACTCCGGACTGCTCTCCAAGCTTAAAATCCATTTACCTCAGTCCTTGTACCTAATCCTCCGATCCTACCTCTCTGACCGCTCCTTTCGAGTTCGCTGTGGAACAGAATTTTCCAATATCTACTCCGTTAAAGCCGGTGTCCCCCAAGGCAGCGTCTTGGGTCCCGTGCTTTACATCCTCTTTACTGCTGACATCCCTGTTCATCCCGATACTTTTCTTGCAACATTCGCTGACGACACCGCAATCTTATCATCCAACTCTGATCCCGAAATAGCATCCTTAAATCTCCAAAGTCATCTCACCTTGATTGAGCACTGGTGTAATAACTGGCGCATTAAAGTTAATGAATCTAAATGCCAACATATTACTTTTACACTCCGACGCAATTCCTGTCCACCAGTACTCTTTAATTCCATCCAGCTTCCTTATTCAGACACAGTCCGGTATCTTGGCTTTCATTTAGACCGAAGACTAACTTGGAACCCGCATACTAGACTCAAAAGACAAGAACTCAACCGACGATACGGCCAACTATACCGACTACTAAGCAGAAAATCTAAACTTTCCATTGAAAACAAGCTACTGATCTACAAGACAATACTGAAACCTATTTGGACTTACGGACTAGAACTGTGGGGATCAGCAAAATTTTCTAACATCAAGCGCATCCAATCCTTCCAGTCTAAAGTCCTTCGAACAATAGTCGATGCTCCTTTCTATGTATCCAACAAAACCCTACATCATGACCTTAACATCCCATTTGTCCTAGACCTTATCCCAGAAAAGTTCTCCAAATTTCACCAGAACCTTACTTACCACCCAAATCCTCTTGCACAATCCCTATCAAGCATCTCCCATCCCTATAATCCTCCAAGAAGGTTGAAACGGCAGTGGCCTCGCGACCTTTTGTAAATTATATAAATTGGAGTTCTGGCAATGGCCAGATTCTTCACTCAAGACATGTGTGTATGTGGCTAAAGTGCTCTCGACCAATCTCCGCTGGCTTTAGTACCAGTGACGCGGTTGGAAGAGTAGCGCAGGGTTCTCCTGGAGTTCCCTCGCCTGATTGTATATAGGTATGCATGTTATTTTTTTTTTTTTTTTCCTTAGTTTTAATTTTCTTATTTTTTAGGTTATTTTATTTTATTGTCTATTGTATATACTTTTGATTATTATTTTGTTCTATTTATTTTATTTTTTTGTACATATGGTGTGAATGTCATCCTACCTCACTATAACCAATGTCGAACAGACAGATTGTTATAATACTCAATAAAGAAATTTAAAAAAAAAGAAACTCCAGCATTCCCGCGTTCCTTAGTTAGTTCACTAGAAATATTATCGGCTACAGCTGCATTATAATATTTTAATTTTTCGATAGTTATTTCAACTTCTTCTTTATTTAGTTCTTATATTAACGATTTAAGATTGAAAGGATTAATGAATTGTTTCATGCAATTCATTTTTGGAGTCTCCAGGAGCTCTCAGGTCTTCAGTTGCTATGCCGAGTTGAAGTGGCTCTATCAAGATTTCTCGCGGCAATATTTCCTAGATGTATTCTTTTTCCGAACCTTTAACCCAAAAGCCATCTTACCTTCTTGATTTGTTTACTCCTTGTTCTTCAGTGCATTCGTTTGACACTTAATCCCAGTTCATAAACCTGTTTGTTCTCTCTCGTACAACCGTTTCCTTTAAAAAAAATCCTTTATCATGCGTGCTACCTTTTTTTGTAATTCCCTACCTATACGCAAATCCTCTTTCTTAACCTCATTAAAACAATATTTATTCTTCCACCTCCTTAGGAATCTATCTTCCGAATTCATGTAAGAATAAAATTTCGTATTAAAGATATGTCACTATCATTTTAATGTTATGTTACTGTTATTAAATATCATCAATATCCTTAATAAAAACAAATATCAATTTATTTTAATTATAATGTTAGATTATTACGTTATGCTATGAAAAAGTTTTCTTATTTTTTATAATGCCAATTTCAGTCTTTTTGTTAATTATAATTATTCTTAGGGGACTAAAGGACTTAGAATACAATTTATTTTTCTTTCTTCTTTCTTTCTTTCATTCAGCACTTTGATATTCTGACGGAGGACATAGTTGATTAAATGCCTTTTAACTTACTTAAAATATCAACAGAATATTGTTATTTTCATCCCTAAATCCACTCGTCCCTAAAAAAAAGTTTATATAAACAATAGTCAAATTTTCATCAGAAAAGTAGGAAATTTAAGATTTGTATTTTTTAAGCTAGTCACGTTTTTTGTTGAATGGGAAGCGATAACTTATAAAATATTTGATTTAAGTAATTAAAAATTGCTTTATAGTAAACAAGACAGAACTTATTTTAAATCAAAGTAGAGTATAAAATTGTTTTTCTTCCCAGATTTCTGTCAAAGGCATTGATTATAAGTGATAAAATTAATGTTTCTAGCCCTAATATTTACGTTTTCATGAACATATTAGCACATATAAAGCAATCAGTAGATTTCCCCATTTAAGCGTTAAATTTAGTAATATTAAGTATGTCACTTATAAATACGCATTAATTTCTATTAAAGAAATCTGGGAGGAAAACTCAATTTTATATCATCTAATATGGAAAATATTTAAAAATCATTGTTCTAATTTTTTTTAATAAAATTTGTTTTTAGGCAATAATTTTTTTTTTAAATACATCACATATCACGGAAAACCAAGAAATAAAAGCTTTTGCAACAGTTAATTGTACTCATTTTTGCTGAAAATAGGGTTACTTTTAGATGACTAAATAGAAAATCGCATAATTTCTTTACACAACTTGAGACAAAACTTAATTTTTTTCTTGATAGACCTCAACTTAATTAATATGTATATAAAGAATATTAACTAAGAAAGTTTTTCTACAAGTGGGCTAACTGTAGATAAATAGTGATAAAATAAAAATTTTAAATTATTTATGACTTTTTTTCAAACGGATCTTAGCTGAATTTGTCTGCGTAACAGTCCTCTAAAAATAATTTTTAACAATGACAACCTCTACTTTAGTTTGAAGCTAGTTTTGTCTAGTTTGCTATGAAGCAACGTTTAATTACTTTAATCGAATATCTTTCAAGTTATCGCTTCATATTCAACAAAACAAGTGACTCCCTTATAAACCCACAAATATTAAATTTCCTACTTTTCTGCTGAAAATCGGGCAATTGTTCCCATCACCTTTATGCAGATGATTCCCAGATCTACCTATCCTTTTCTCCCTCTGAGTTACTGGGGGCATTTGCCAAGATTCAAGAAGACCTTGATCGAATCAATACCTGGGCAAATGTAAATGGATTAAAGTTAAATTCTGCCAAAACTCAGGCCATTGTCATTGGTTCCAAGCCCCTTATTAGATCCCATACTGACTTTCCCATATTACACCTTAATGACCAGCCAATTTCCTTCTACTCCTCTGTTAAAAATTTAGGATTTTTCATAGATCAAACCCTCTCCTGGACCTACCATATTTCTCACATTTCCCGTCGGACAATTTCTACCCTTAAACTATTTCATCACTTCCGCCATCTCCTACCTCAACATATCCGTAGACTCCTAATTTCCTCTCTCATCTTCCCCCACTTTGACTACAGCTGTGTGGTGTATGATGGACTCTCGGTGGAGCTCCGTGATAGACTGAAAAGATTAATGAATAGCTGCGTAAGATTTGTTATTGGTGCCCCGAGTTACTCCCATGTCTCTCACCACTACACTGAGTTAAGGTGGCTCTTCCCCTCCTTCCGAAGACAATATTTTCTAGGTACGTTCCTATACCAAATCATCAACAACCATCGTCCTTCTTACGCCTACAACCTTCTCCAGTTCAAATCCTCAGTCCATTCCCTGTCCACAAGATCTCGACCTTCTGACCTTTACATGCCTTCTCACAGATCTGCCTCATTCCAAAATTCCTTTATTGTTCGCTCTGTCAATTTCTGGAATTCCCTCCCTATCAAAATTCGACATTCCCCCTCCATATCCACATTCAAATCCCTCCTATTCCAATTCCTATCACAAAAACAGTCAGATACTTGCTAACCATTTGAGCGGATTCTAATAGAGAATTTGATACATTTTTATTTTTTAATTCTTTATTTTTTTTCGGAAAAGTGTATACTGGTCTATAAGAGCAAATAGCTTTAAGTGTCTTGTCATAGTATTAATGGTTTTGTATATAGTTTAGTTTGTTTTGTATATAGAATTTTTACCTTCAATTTTTTTTTACATTATTTCTTTTTTTCGATTGATTTTATTTTGGCCAGATGTAATATTTTAATTTTGTTCTATTTTGTTATTCTCAAGGGACTGTGTCCCAGAATAAAGTTATTTTTCTATCTATCTATCTAAATTTATATTTTTTGAATAATTTTCTTCTGTTCTGTTCCACATATTTTTGATGTACCTGTCTAAATTGGTTTCAGTAATTGTTTAAATGAACGTTTTTGCAGATCTTTTTGCATACTATCAAACATTTAATTATTTTCCTCTGCTCACGCGAACCAAGATATATTGTATTTCTATAATATTGTGTGTATTATTATAATATTGAAATATTATGTTGTTCCAGCTTAATGATGTTCCGGATCGTAGCTGCTGTTGCTACTTTCACAGCAAGTGCTGCATCAGGATATTGTCTTCATCTTCTTGGCTATATGTGGTTCTTCATCATGGTCATAGCTCTCTTCTTTGTTGCTTTTGTACTTGCGGTAATCTTGAAAGAAGGCGAGAAAAGACTCGAAAGGAACGAAGAAGCTAAAATATTTCAAAAAATGCAAGCCATAATTAAATCAAGACCTAATAATTTGGTGGTTTGGCTTATGCTTATCGGCTGCGTTATCATCAACGTTTGTGGCATTGGTAACATACAATATATTATTAATAATTACATTTTATATCTATTCTGTAAAGGTTAATACAATATTATAATAATAACATATGAATGCAATATTATCAATATGTTTTTATATATAACTAGTAGGCCCGTGCGAAAATTCGCACAGTATACTACACAGTGATCAAATAATAAATTAATATGAAAATAAAATAATGCAACGAATCATTAAAATTTACAAATTTCTTTAATATTTGGGACCAACATGTTTACAAATTTGAAGAAGCTGTATTTTTGATAATAATTCTCCGATTTTGATGATTTTTATTCTTTTGTAGGGAATTTAGTAATACTTTATATGGTATAAGGGAACAGTGTTTAGTTTTTTAATTATTTGTAAATAAAGTCTTTTCTTTCATAATTTTTTTGCTTGAGGTCTCTTGGTGATTGGACTATATTTCCCGCCTGAAGGAGCAGAAAAACTTCAAAATTGGCGACTCAATGTTTTGGATTTGATGAAGAATTAACGATGGTACGACTTACCGACAGAAAACACCTTTGATGAACAATATAAACTCCTCCTCTCTCATTCAAAGGGACTTAAATTGTAGGAAATGAGACATGTATTCCATGATAATACTACAATTAACGTAAGGTCGTGTGGATGCGAACCCTTTGCCTTGAATTATCTCAAAAGTAGTAGGTTTTTATGCTTAAATGCTCAGGTCTAAAGGAACCATTCGGGTCTTGGTGTACACATCAAAATCTTCAAAGCCCGGTTTATTCCGTATCAATCTATAGACCGTTCTAGTATTGAAGCCAAACGAAATATTTATGTGAGAAAGAAAAACAAAAAGCGGAGAGTACGATTCTCTAAACCTCCGTGAAATATTGAATCCAACGGTACTCCATTCATGGTATTTGAGCTTATATTTGGTACAAAACCGATTTCGAGCATTACGGTAATAATATTTGTGGGAATATGGTAGTATAGATCCCTCTTCAGACTTTCAAGAAATATGTAGTATATTGATGAACTGACAGTATCAACCTTAAAGAAAATTAATGTAGAAGTATTATAAGCATAGCCACATCCTTCGTCTTCCCAAAGTTTCAGAGGAAAATGTTTTGAAGCAAAATAAATGTATAAGACCTATAATTATTTAGAAGGTTACTATCGCCGAAAAAACAAAAAATAAATCATTGAATCACTAATATCCAAGATGGTGGTCATTACAATGAAATAATTATAAAGCTAAAAAAGAGACATTAGTTAATCATTATTGAAGGAAGTTAGTCGATATTTCTATATATCATGGGTGATAAATAGTCCGGACGCAGTCATTTTAAAGGTTTTTATTGGTGCTCATGTTTCAGCTCAAGCACGATGACCAACATTAGGGCGTGTTTTGACCACTGAAGGTATTCAGACACTCAAGAAGGTTTTCAGTATTTGAACACTTTCAGTGTTCGTAACCCCCCCTGATGATCACCCACTTGCTTGTGACGAAACGTGGACGCCAATAAAAACCGTAAAAATTACTGCCTCCTGAGTATTTATCACCCATGATAAGTTAATTATATTATAAATGGAAAAATCTAAACTACAAAGCTATGATTTTCCAAACATATAGGTGAATATTTAACTAGCCAATATGTTTTGCCGAATCCTGAAGTTCTGCTCCATATGTCCAAATTGGACTAAATATGCTGTTGTAAATTAGTAACCGGTTTCGTAAGTTAAGTGAGGATCTGTAGTCTAAAAGATGTGAGAGTTGGTTATATTGTCTAGTCAGCTCTTGTATTTTTAATTTATTATGTATGTTCCAGGTAAGCCTTTTGTCTAAGTAGAGTCCGAGGTACATTACATAGTTTTTTTTTAATGCACTAGGATATTGATATAAACAATTTTTTATTATTAGTACATTATCCTTCTCTATTTTTTTTTTATTCAAGCTCTATTTTTTTTTTTTTAATTTCAGCCGAAAATAATTTGTACCTCTACTACTTACAGCTGGCGTTTGACTTTACAGTCAAAGAAGCTGGACTTTATTCTGCGTTCCGTTTAATGTTCAGTGTAGTGAGTGAGTATATTTCAAATATCTAATATTTAAAAAAAAACATTCCACTATTAATACTTTTATATTTTAAGGTACAGCTATTCTATCACCGGTGTTCACAAACATTTTAAAATGGTCGGACTTCAGAATCGGTATTATTAGTTCATTTATGAGTTTTATTGCGGCAGTTTTAATGATATTTGCGAAGACAGTCGTACAACTGATTTTATGTAAGTAATCTTCTAAATACTGTAACTTTATTAATATATACCTAGTTCTGCTATAAATACTGTTACAAAAGTTGAACTTTACATCCTAGGGTATTATTAACATAATCCTTACCTCTATCAGGTATTTTTCTTTAAATGTCAGTATAATAATTCCAATTAATCTGTATTTTTCTTTCATTCAGTTAACATGGAGTGGGGTGATAAAGAAAACCGAATCGCCTAACACAAAGTTGGAAAATGTAGATTAGAAATTTTCAACACATAAAAACCTTTGGGTATCAGCCGTATGTTCGTGTACCGCACTATAAATAGATATAATGAAACCCTCTCTGTATGTGACAGATTTCTACCAGAATGTCCCGGCACTGTGAGAATGGCAAATGGAGTGAGTGCAGTGGCTGTTCGATCCAGAAGAAATTCCATATCAATACGAATCAGGTCTCGAAAAATGGAAATCTCTGTCAGAACAATGTCTCGAATAATACGAAGTGAGCTTAGGATGGGTGCATTTCGAAGAATGACAGGATAAAGGCTTACCACTTCCCTAAACAAAATAAGAGTGGATAGATTCAAAGTGCTCCTTGGCCATTACACCAATGGTATTCATCGAAAGATTATGTTTAACTATGAATACATAGTAACAACTGAAGAAATATTTAATCGCCAAAACGATTATGTGTATGCAGAAGCCCAGTAATTCATTGGAAGAGTGGAAAGAGGTCGTCATAATTCCTCAATGATGGTTTGATGGGGAATTTGCTTTAATGGCACCACAAAGCTCCATTTTTGTGAAAAAGGTAACTCTTGTTTCACAAAAACAGCAGCTAAAAACTGTCAGGACGATATTTCATAACATGTTGTAATAGAGGATTTACAACATGTTCCGAAATATCTCCGAAATATAAATATGATACTCTCCGCTCCAGCTCACAAGACCAGGTCAACTCAGCAGTGGCTGGAAAAGAACACCCCAGAGTTCATCTCTGCCTCGGATTGGTCCTCAAGAAGCCCTGATCTCAACCCACTAGATTATCGGCTTTAGTCCTAACTGGAGAGGATGGCATGCCACAGAGCACACCCTAACTTGGAAAGCCTCGAAAAATCTCTGGTCCGAATAGTTGAGCACTTTCTTCAAGAAGTGGTGTGCTGCTATTGATGACTGGCCACTAAGATTAAGTGCCAGTGTCCATGCACAAGGGAGACATTTTGAGAAATTTCTTTTTTGTTTTACTCTTAATGGATATAGATTTTATTTTCTAATTATATTTTATATTTTCTTGTAACAATATTTATGACAGAACTGGGTTCAATACAAACTTGTAAATAAATACATTTTATTACATATAATAATTTTTTTTCAGTTGGTATGTTAGATTTTTTAAAATTATTTGCCAACACTCTGCCAATGTCAATTATGACTAAGTACGTGAGAAGTGATGAAGTAGGTAAGTAATTTATTTTTCTCACACAAAAATTAACTAATGATTCTAGAGATGAAATATCATAAATTCATTTTTTGAAAAAGATCCATAGATTAAAAAAAAATTATAGCAATCAATTAATTACACTAACACATATTTCCCTAGTATACTGATATATTTTTTAATTGATTTTTATTTAATACAATTCTATATGGAAAGTTTAAAAATTGATTTTTATGTTGTTGTTTTTTTGGAATGTTTTAAAATTCTTTAGGGCCGAAATGTTATAATAAAGAGAAACACAACCTTTCTGTTATAAATTTTGTTTATTAATGAAATAAAATTTGCGGGAGTAATGTGGTGTTATAGTAAAACATCAATTGTCGATTGATTAAGTATAATATTTTTTTTTTTAATGTAAGAAGTTTCTTCATGAAATATCCACAGATAATTCAAAAGTTATTATTATCAGCCAGTGGCGAACTCGTTGCATATTCTATACGAACTTATTGAGAACTAATAAAAGTCTTGATGACTAAAGTTGTCATATAACAAACTCAGATCGCAGGAGTGCCGATCCCTTCAACGTCGAAGACGCAAATCACTCTCCTCTCTCTAAGAAATTGTTCTCCTCTTAAAAACAGTCCTAGAGAAAGTAGAATTGGATAAACTGTGCATTATTAGATATGGGATATCTAATTTACACTCGTTTGTTCGATTTTTCCCCTTTGTTCCTTGCTTTTAAAATCCTTCAAATTGAACCATATAAAAGTAAGAATTCTTCAAAAAATGTTTGGTTTTTTCTGTTGACATTAAAGATAATAATATAATAATAATAAAAGGCTTAGCGAACCCGAAGGTTCGATGCCGACACCACCAATCGCTTATTACACACCTCCCTCCACCGTTCGCCGTCCAAACCCAGTCCCTTCAGATCGGCTTTAATGCAGTCTTCCCACCTTCGCTTCGGTCTACCCCTCGGACGCTTACCATTCGGCATAGCAAATATTAACCTTTTAGGAATTCTCTCGTTACTAAGCCCAACAACTTTACAAGCCCATTTGATTCGCCGCGATGAAATTACCTCAATTATATTACCCGGATACAGCTCACGCAATTCGGCGTTGTGTAACCGTCTGAACTCTCCGGTTAACTCATCTTTCTTCGGTCCGAATATTCTACGCAATACTTTATTTTCAAAAACCTTAAGACGCTACTCATCCCTTAATGTAAGCGGCCAAGTTTCGCATCCATAAAGGACTGTAGGCAAGATAATTGTTTTATAGATTCTAATTTTTAAGTTTCGGGACAAGAGGCGCGAACTAAGTAGTTTTGTCATAGAAAAATAACAAGCATTTCCCACCTTCAGTCTAACCTTAATCTCTTCTTCAATTTCGTTTTTTCTAGTTATCGTAGAACCTAGATACCTAAATTTATCTACCTGTTCAAACATAGTACCATCTATATCGATATCACCAGTAGTATCGCCATTTTTGCAGCTAACCATATATTTTGTTTTATCCACGTTTATTTCGAGTCCTAGTTCTTTACCGGCTTTCATTAACGTTTTCGTATTTAGTTTTATAGTTTCAACGTCTTCGCTTAACAGTACCAGATCATCAGCATAGCCCAGCACGGATGTTGTCCCGCCCAGATCCAACCCTTTCTCGGTTCGCATTACCTCCCTAATGGCATGTTCTAATGCCAAATTGAACAGGGCAGGCGAAAGAGAATCCCCCTGTTTTAAGCCCGAACGAACCTCAAATTTTTCGGACAAATTATTACCGATTCTAACTTTATTGAGTGTCTCCGTCAAGCACATCCTGACTAGATTTACTAGTTTTTTTGGAATCCCCTGCTCGATTAGAATATTATACAGTTTCTGGCGGTCAATAGAATCGTAAGCCTTTTTAAAATCTATATACAGCTGGTGAACAATACCTTTATACTCCAATTTTTTCTCTAATATTTGCCGTAAAGAAAATATTTGATCGATAGTCGAACGTTAAAGTGACATTAAAGATAATGTCATAAAATCTTGTAGATTTTTTGTCACCATGACAAATCTGCTCCATCTCTGTCTATCTTGGACTATTTCTTTCCAGTTATCTGCATGTAGCTCTATTTTTTCTTTGTCGATTCTATTTACCAATCTACTTCTTGGCCTTTCATGTAGACTTTTGCTCTCTTTTGAGTTATTCATTGTTACGTAGAGGTGTAATGTAAGCTAAATGTCCCCATCCTCATACACTCTGTGTCTTCATTCTGGCTTTATCATAGCATTGTACACTTACAAAATTAGTTTGTATTTTTTATTATTTTAAGCCAGACGAATACCCATAAATTTGTAAACTCTGTTATTATTCTTAGGAGACTGTAGTACCAGAATAAAATTACTTTTTGATTTCATTTCAATAAATGATAATATGCAGCAAATTCCACCCTCGTAACAGCATAGAAGAGAAATCGACCTCAAGGGTAGACAAATTCAAATACCTCGGATCCAAAATAAGCTCAATAATGGACCAACGACCGGAAACAGACCAGCCTATAACTATCGCAAATAGAGCTTTCTTCTCTCTTTCAAAGTTATTTAAATCTCAAAGAAAAAAAATTAAGAAATCTCAAATTCGATGATGATACCACCATCCTATCAACTCACTCAGATTCTGAAGCAGCATCCCTAAACCTACAAACACATCTCCCTAACTTAGCAGTGGTGCAACAACTGGTAGATTAAAATCAACGAATCCCAAATGCATACATTTTACCTTTACCCTCCGGCTCAGATCCTGTAAACATATCCTTTTCAACTCTGTATCTCTTTTCGTCTCAGACACAGTTGGGTATCTTGGATTCCTTTTAGACAAAACACTAACATGGAACCCACATACCAGACTTATAAGACAAGAACTTAACCAACGATTTGGCCAGTCAAGCAAACTGCTTGACAGAAAATTCGGTCACTCAATTGAAAACAAACTATTAATATACAAGATCATACTGAAACCTATCTGAACCTGCGGACTTGAACTGTGGAGGACAACTAATTTTTCGAACATCAAACGCATCCAATCCTTCCAGTCTATAGTCCTCCGTATAATAGTCAATGCTCCTTATTATGTTACTAACAAAACCTTACACCATGAACTTTAGATTTTTTTTTTTGTTCTTCCCTACCTCGCCGTTTAGGCTATACGGGATTTTCCCGAGCCGGAGGGTGAGGGCGGGGAATTTAAAATCCCATCTGGCACCGGGACGCGAACTCGTACTTTTCTTGTCTCTCAAATCTTCATATATCCGGTTGCCAGGCAACTGGCGGTGCTGTGCACACGCTTTAGCCCATTCAGCCACCCCGCCCCTCTGAATCTCTTATGTCCTTGAAGTTATTCCATCTTGATACATTTAAGGTCATTTCTACAAGCCTTTGGCAATCTTACCATGAACTCCCAGTCCAGTCATGATTTTCTAAAGAGAGGAACTGTCCACAGAATCATAGACTGTTTACAAATCGACAAATAGTGTGTGGACGTTCTGAGCTACATTCCCTTGTGTTGTCAAGTATGAAGATATGTTATTGTCCAAAAAATCATAAAGGTATTAAAATGTGTTACCACAACAATTTTTCATTAATTCCAACCACAAAATTGGAAAATACCAGAAATTATACAAATGCCTATAATAAATTTCTTTATATTTTATGCATTTTTTTTTTCAATTTTAGGAATATTTGTCAGCTTATGTTTCATGGGTGAATGCCTGTTTCCAATTTTGCTTTTTTGTATTTACGATATTATATTTTCTGCAACTTCAAATACAATCCCTGGAGGTTTCTTCGTGGCTAGTGCCGCCATTATATTGCTTGTATTTTTCTTCTTATGGTAATTATTATCTATAATCAAAAATGTATATTGTTTCTTACCTATATATTAATTAACCAAATAATGTATTATATTATCTTATCATACCAATTAATTGTAGTTAACATAATACATTCTATGTGAATCAATAAGATCATATAATTTACTTTTGTATATATTTCGTCTGATTCATCGATCTTATATATTTTTTAAGGATATGTTCCTGTATCTCCACAGAATCAGTGGAACTTTTGGAAAACGATTCCTCTCTAAACAACGATTCTGAAAAACGTGAAGATGTTAAAACTACAGAAAACAATGGAATAATCGAAAAATGATAAGGAGTTGCGTGATTAATGGTAATTTATTCATAAAATAAACAAAATAGATATATAAGTTAGTTAGTTACTGAAGCAAAGACGTTTTATAAAGATTTATTTAACCAATAAGTAAATATTGATTCTGAAATAGTAAAAAAATAATTTTTATTTCGAGCCAACGTTTCCATCCAACTTTGCTGGTCTTCTCCAGGGCTAAAACGAACTTTTTTTTTTTTGTTCTTCCCTACCTCGCATTTTTAGGCTATACGGGATTTTCCCGGGCCGGAGGATGAGGGCGGGGAATTTAAAATCCCCTCCGGTACCGGGACGCGAACTCATACTTTTTAAATCATCTCAAATCTTGTTCTCCGGTTGCCAGGCAACTCGCGGTGCTGTGCACACGCTTTAACCTATTCGGCCACCCCGCCCCCTGGGCTAAAACGAACTATCTACAAAAATATATAAAAATGTTCAAGTTACACGATACTATGTAACTTTTAAATTTGTGTAAATTTTCATTCGGCATAATTCCCCCGTCCACTCCCCTGGCCCGGAAATATCCCCGTGTAGCCTATAAAGGAAGAAAGAAGTTGCCTTGCGTAATATCGAGTTCTCGTCCCAGTGCCAAGGGGGCTTTTAACTCGAGAATCTTAGAAACTCGAACTCAGAAACTTATGTCCAATATTGTTCGATGTAAACCCACTCTTAATATGTATATTTGTTGAAATTGGTAAAAACTGACTGTAATTTCTCTTGAAAAAGATTATTTCTGTACTAGTGCTATTAAATTGTATCATATATGTCTTCAGCGATCTGATATGAAAAAAAAAAAGTGATGTTTTAATGATTAGAACTAATGACGTATTTTTTCTTTCAGTCATAAACGTAACGTTGGGTATATAAGATGGACCTTTCAGCTTTAACGCTTATACTTTAAGAAAAAACAACATTAAAAGAAATGTTATGTAAATAAATTTATAAATTATTCGTAAAATTTTTACTTATTTCCTTCATTCCCAGGTTTGAAAAATAAATAAAAAAGATTTAAAATTCATTTCGAGCTACGGACAATGAAATTACCTCTTAAATCAATACTAACATGTAATAATGATGTTTATATTAGGAAATGTTACAAAAAATGTCAACATCTTTCATCTCTTAAAAACATGTATTTTATGTTGGAATATAATTGAAAATATTTTTTTATTATTATTTATATGATATTTACAACTATATAAAAAAAATACATCTAGTAAATTTCTACATGGATATAATGACATGAAACACATGTTGGGAAACTACCCATTGCTAGCACTTTAATAATATGTCTATATTAGGAGATCACGGGGCCATCTTCTTTTCAGACGCCTCGGAGGGTTATCAGGAATTGAATTGGAAGCAAGTTTAGAAACAAGAGGGTTGGGATGGTTATGGAGTTTATTATGGAAGGATAGATATCTGGATTGGTCCAAATCTGATACATAAGAAACATTAAGGTCATTGTGGATGATTTTATTTGTAACAAAGTAAGGAGCATTGAGGATTTTATGAAGGATTTTGGATTGTAAGGATTGGATATGAGAGGAATTTGAAGGTTTGGTAGAGCCCCATACCTCAACTCCGTAAGTCCAAATAGGCCTTATTATAGTCATGTAAATCAGTCTTTTGTAATTGATTGGAAGGTTAGAGCGTTTGTCTAGTAAGTGTTGAAGTAGTCGGAAACTTCGAGCGGTTTCTTATTGTTTCAGTCTGGTATGAGGATTCCAAGTTAGAGGTTTGTCCAGGTGGAATCCTAGGTAGCGGATTTGTTCAACAGGAATAAGTGAGGTGTTGGTAGAGGATACTGAAGGTCAGGAAGTCATTGGTTTACGGCGAAGGGTAAAGGTGATTTGATGAGATTTGTTGTAATTTATTTTAATCCTCCAGTTTTGATACCATTTTTCAAGGTTTGTGATGTGTGATTGAAGGGTATGGATGCAATTGATGGATCGTTATTAACTGATAGGATACATGTTTCATCGGCATATGTGATGATGACAGTGTTGGGAATTTTAAAATATTAAATCAATGAAAAATATGCAACATGCACTAAAGTTTGTACATATATGTATGATGAGAAAGTTTTTAATTATATATAATAGTTAACATGAGCCAGTATAAATTTTCCTCGAATATCAGTTTAGAGCCAAAATCGTCGACTAGGAGAGAATAAATAAATCATCAATGGAAGAAGTGCCTTTTTTTATAAAAAAACTTATTCAGTATTTTGAGCTAAATTTGTTTGAAAAAAATTTACTAAATCAAATACTAAGACTTCTAAATTCTTTTAATCTTTAAATAATATAAAAGATATATTTTTTTTCTGTATTTACAGAGTGATAATATTTTTTATCAATTAATAATTATTTGTTTAGCTTACGACAACATGATAATTAAAAATATGAACGTAGATGGAGATGAACAGTGAAGATATATGAATTAATTCAATGGATTAGACGCTTGCGAAATTGTACAGTTTACAATTTTTATTTTCTTCGTATTTCTGATGTTCTATACCGAACGATTTAAAGTTGTGTGATCAGTGAAAATTGTGTTGCACCAGAATTATTTTAAAGTTTTTTTTTTTGAAAAATTTTCAAACACATATTTCAGCTGTATTTCCTCTAAGGAGATCTCTAACGGAGTCGGAACTAAGGAATGAGAGCATAGTAAAGTGCTAAATTATAGAACTGTAAATCTTTAATGAAATTTTATTTTTATTTAGAATGAAAAATGTTTCATTGAGCATTTTGTTTGATTTAATTCATAATATGAGTTTATGTTATCAGATGAGATTTATTTCGAAATTTAATATCTAAAATAATGTTATAAAAGTGTAAGAGAGGAGAGCGGGTTGAATGAAATGAGGGCAATATTAAGTTTGCTCCTTAGGAAAAACTCTACTTCCGTCGTGGTAATCCAAAAATTATGAGCTCTATATAAACAGTTCTAGTGCCTTTAAGCGGCATTGGTTTTAGAAAATAGAAAAGGATATTCCAGGACATAGAAGAAGAATAGAAACAAAGATGAGTGATGACCATGATATAAGTTATTTTAAGGGATTAGTTCTCAACCATGGCATATAACTTCCAATTAAGTATTCAGCAGAATAAAATTCTAAAAACCATATTATTGATAATTAAATATTTCCGCATTATTCAGACTAATCTATTATTGTAAAAAAAACAAACATTGAATGATTTTTGAAACATTTTAAATCTAAATCCCGTAAGTTTTTTTGTTTTTTTAATTTCACGAAAATCTAAAAAGACAAATATAGCTTATATATAGTAAAATAGTACTTAGATATAGATCGTCGATTTACTTTTCATTGTCAGGTATTAATATTACACATATTCATATCCGCCATTATGAGCAAATTCAAAACACTCACTACATTTATCATGTAGAATTTTTTTTCTGATCACAATAAGTAATTATTATTATCATTAAATAATATAACAACTAATAAAGATATTACTAATTTTCACAATATCGGAGCATATAAATAATGAACGTTTTACAGTCGATGTGACAAGGATTTGATGTTTTACGTCCGCCATGGATATTATAAACTGATCTGAATTTAAGTTTACTTATATTACCATTGTATTATTGCTAAGAATCTCTTATTAATAATAAAGAAATGTCTTAAGAGTGCCTAATTTTCTCTCAAAACATTGGCTAATTTGTCGTAAAATCATTTTTTTTATTTGCAATCAAATAAATATTTTCTTTTTAAACTAAAAATCGTTTCCTGCTCTTATTTCCTCAGTTAATTTCTTTTCCAAAGACAAGAGTTTTCCACTGGTAACACAATTATTAATCCTGATTTTATAATTGGTAATTGGTTGACTGTCGTGGGTAATGAAGAGAAGAATAGTTGGGGTGGTCAGTCAAAAAAGGAAGGTAAAAATAAATGATAATATTTATTTTTTTTACACTCATTTATTCATACATTCATTTTTTCGCACTCATTTATTCATTTATTTAAAAAAAAAAAATAAGTATTATCATTTATTTTTTCCTTCCTTTTTTGACTGACTACCCCAACTATTCTTCTCTTCAATACTGATTTTAAATGGACGAGAACGGTCGATTAACTTTCACATGTTTGCTAATTTAACATGTTGCTAGACACAAAGGATCAAATACGCATAATCATGTTCATAAAAAGTTAGAGACTAAAACGTTGACTATTTCCTGTTAAGTGTATAAAATAGATTAAAATTTGGACGAAAACACATAATTAAACACCTCATTTATTGCACTATATAGTTTAATACTAAATAAAATAATTACAATATCCCTCCCTCCCTGGTATATGAGGCCCTTCTGTCTACTGGAGGCAACTAACTCCGACCGGGCCTAGGATTGATGGCCCTACCCAATACTTTAAATCGAGAATCGGGATGTTGTCTAATATATATATGTATATATATATATATATATATATATATATATATATATATATATATATATATATATATATATTAGACAACATCCCGATTCTCGATTTATCCCGATATATATATATATATATATATATATATATATATATATATATATATATATATATATATATATATATATATATATATATATATATATATATATAATATATATATAATTTTTTTTTAAATAACATATTTCTTTATTTAACACGTTTCTCATCATAATCTAACGGGACAAAAGTCTAGGTGACATCGTAATGATGATGAAATAATTTCCTTTCATCTAGAACAAGTTTGTATTCTATAAAGAAATCAACGAATGATTAGTAAATTATGTCCTATCTTAGACTAGCATAATTTTTCTATGTTTCATGTAAATTTTAAAACCGAAATGTAACTGTAATAGTTTTCTTTTTTCATTATCAGGTGTCTATAAAAAAATATACTATTTTTTCGCGTGTTATCCTGTAAAAACAAATGCATAATTTGTTTTCACATCACCATAAAAATTACGATATATTATCCGAATTGAATGAGGATAAACACATACATCTTATTCTGTTATCAAACAAGTTATTAAATGGATAATAATGATTTTAAAGACGAACAACAATGGATTATGAAAGGTATGCTTCAAAATAATAAATAAATGGGACCGTAAATCAATCCAAATAAAAATATAACTAGTTTTCACAAGTTAACTGATTCTTCAATTAGATGACTGTGACGTCAACAGAATTTAGCAAGATTTAAAATACATAATAAAGAAATTAACATTGCTTTGTTAAGTAAGTTCCATAAAAAGACGAATATATTTCCAGGAACAATATTATAAGATACATAATAATTGTTATCCTTTTACACATAAAGCTCAGCTGTATCTTACTACCATCTTGCCTACGAAGATTTGCGCCATATTTTAGTCTTCCAATTGTAACACAATTATAAATACTGATTTCAAATAGGAGAGTACGATCGATTAACTTCCACATATTTAACATATTATTCAACACAATGTTTTATCCCGATTTCGTAAAATCGAAAAATAACTCTTTTCCTCAGTGTTTCTTTTTTTTAATGCTTCCAATTTAAGAAAATATACTGCAGTTTTCCACTCAGTTGGCAGATTTCGTTCACTCTGTATATGTGATTAGAAGAAAATAAAGTGTTTTCTTAAATTAATATTACAACTTTACGAAAAAAAATATGTATTATGAAATGTACCATTTCTGGATATAATATAATAAGTAGTCTTGCGCACTCAGTCTTAATCTTGGTCTGGGTCTTGCACAAGAGTCTTGCGGTCAGTTACCTATTATTATGTATTAAATGTATTGCTATGTATTAAAAATATTACTTTTGATTCATTAAAATATTATTTTAGATCTCAAAAATACTACCCAATAAGTACATTTAGATTTTTTATTAACATGAACTTATGAAATCCAATAAAATTAACTTGACAATATAATAAAGACATTATTGAGAAAGATAAGCCCCTCATTGGAATAAAAGAGTTGTAGAGTAAAGAAAATTTATACAATTTTACCAATTATTTAAATAAAAAAAGTTTAGTGTGTCTATCCAGATGACTTTCCTACTGATTTTAAACATGTATTCATTTACTCTACATTATACCCATGACATACCTATCCACTCCTAACCATTGACCGCCACCAACTCAAATGGTTAGACCAACCTCAAATAATTTAAAAAAAAAGCACTTACTAACTTTACGAAATTGGTACTCACTTCGGAAATTAAGATTAAATCATGAGAAGTCACAACAGATAACATTTAAACTAGAAACGTGCCACCAGTTTATATAGGAGAGAACCAAATTTCTCAAACAAAGTACGTTACTTGGGACTAATATTCGACAGAAGAAAGACATGGGGCCCATACGTCAATATGAAACGAAAGGCTTTAAACTGAAAATACTGTACTCACTTTTTTCGAAATCGAAATTGAAAGCTCGACAAAAACTAAATACATACACTTAACTACTCAAATCCATTTGGAAATACGCCTCTCAGATTTACGGTTCGAGAAAAGAGATGCACTTACAAAAACTACAGACATTTCAATCTAAAATTTTACGGCTTATAACAAGAGTTCCCTCTTACTTCAATAACAATACTTTAAACAACGACTTACGACAACCAACTATAGACCAACATATATGTACCCTCTACTCTCGTTTTCATATCTAACGACACAGAATTATACAACGACATGGCCTCGACTGAAATGCTCATCAGGAGAAGGCTAAAACGAGCTGGATGAGAGATCTTCTCACCTAAATCAAAAAAATAAATGACCAGGAAGAGGTGCGGCTAGATACTATCATTCCTTATGCCTATAATGTCAATCCTTATTTTATAACAACACATCTGATGATTGTCAATACCATGACAGCTGTGGATACATACTTAAACAGAAATAAAAAAATATGTTAATTGAAAATAACATAATATGTTAAATATTATTTAACATAGGGAAAACTATAACTCGAACGGAAAATTGGATGAGTTAAGTACAAAGGCATATTTCTCCTACCAATTTTTCATATGTAGTAACTAAAAATGTCTAGTATTACTAACTACACTGACAGGCAAAAAATTCCACCCACTTGTTACCCATTAAGGAACCACGTTGGAAAGGTTGGCTCTGGGAAAAATTACAGGCTGCATATCTTTCGTTTCTTCTCCACACCCTTTCACACCCGTCTGGAAATCGAAGAGCAAATCTTGACTCATCTGTAAAAAGTATAGCATTCCATTCGTCTATAGTCCAATGGCTGTGTTCTCGAGCAAAAGCCAGCCGTGTTACTCTGTGAGTACTGGTCAACTCTGGTCCTCTTACTGGACGAAAAGCCATTAATCCATACTCATTTAATCTCCTCTTATCTGGTTATTTTCTTAGCCCTGATGAAGGCCTGAACTTCAGGTCGAAACGTCGGCATATGTAAAATAAATAAATAAATAAATATTGTCATTTATTTTTGCCTTCCTTTTTGACTGACCACCCCAACTATTCTTCTCTTCATTATCCAAGACAGTCAACCAACCAATTATGAAAAAAATAAAAGCTGGAGACTAAGAAATTTGTTGCAAGAAACGGAACTGAACTAATGATACTGAATAAACATTTTGATTCCATAGAAAGTAAACATTGGAATCTTGAATCATTTCATTGAATTAAGGATTAAGGGTTATTGTCCTCTATATTAACGTTCCTAATAGAAAACAAACAAATAGATTACCTATTTATTCATTAAAAACAATAGACCAACTTAAAGCAGGCATATTTTTAGATGAAAACATGAAAAAATCAAGTGGGTGGAATTTTTTGCCTGTCAGTGTATTTTGTCTTTATTTTATTTAACAAAAAAATAAGTTTTTATTTCAGTCTTGGTCTTGCAACAATTAGGCGGTCTAGCAAAGTGGAAGACAAAGACTAACTTTGGGCAACACATTTAATTAGTCCTAATACTGTCATAGGAAAATCGCAAAAAAAAAAAAAAAAAACAGGAGAGGGGATAATCACGAGACATTTAGGAGCGCTGTATGGCCACACTAGTAGACCTGAGAACAGCGGTTCAACACTGTCACCATTTTGGTTCCATGGAGGCTTACTGCCTAGCAACATCCTGATACACACAATCAAAATGACACAGCCAATCCCCAACATTGCAAAATGGATAAACCATCAAACCGCTC